TGTGATCAATGGCTTTATGTATCATCACAGTACACAGAAATACATTAATAAATAGAAAAAAATAATACCTTTACTGTTAATTATTTAATTAGTTCAGAATCTGAGCACAAATTTTAAGTCAAAACATCAAGAGATCCTCATATGAGATATTGGAAAGATTTCATAAATGTTTTAGAATATTTATATGCCATCTGAACAGGTACTTGCAAATGTATAATTTCACTGGCAAGCAGAAAAGGCGTTTTTTAGTTTCATTCTTTGCAATCAAAGACACTGATATTCTTTTCACAGGTCTTAATCCATCTGTGTCTACATACTTCAAAAGTATTTACCACTTTCTCAGCCAGTGAACAACTTCAGTTGCAAAGGAGTGTCTGTGTGTAATGAACCTTATTTCTGCTCAACCTGGAATCCTCCACTGTGGAAAAGCAATACTTAATTTTAAAGGCAGTACAGAAAGAGTCAATAAGTTGGTTTCTTAAAATTTTCCTCTCTAAAACAATAAAATGCTTAAATACATTTTGTGGCTGCTTTCAAACTGTGAATTATTCTTACAAAAATGAGAACTTACTCATCTGACATTTATAAAGTGTATTAACAACAATTAAAATCTGATTTAATCTCTGGACAAAAAAAAATCAACTTACATCACAAGGTCTAAATTCATTGGTGATTTACATTAACAATATTACTTAATTTTTACTCCTGTATATGAAGGCCAACATTATAGCATGTGAACGTCTAACCTGGGGAACAGTTTCCAAAAAGACATGAAAGTCAAAGTAGAAAGTTGGCCTAATATAAACTTCAAGGGCAATACTGTGGCCAAACAGAATAACGAAAATCTCTGATGTTCAAATAGAGCTTATATAGAAACAGGGAAGTTATTTTACCTGTTTTAAGTATTCATACAGATATTACTGGAATACCAAATTCTGTTCTGAAGTATGTTCAGATTCAGTCCAAAAGGGAAGTTTAAAAATAAAAAATCAGAACTGACATACAAATATAATTAAAGAGTTAAAAAGATTTCCATCAGAGATTACACTTGCTTAGCTAATTAAAAAGATGACTATGTGGCTAGTAGTTAATCTTTACTGAATAAGAATGTATATGAGAACAGAAGCAATGTAGCGCTTTCCAGTTTACCAAGCAACAGTATGATACACGTAATTCCATAAGATAAAGCTAGACAAACCTTAGGCTACAAATAAGGTGCAAATGTTTTTATGGGGAAGGTATTTAACTACTGGAACAAGTTATGATGGCTCTATTGGATTTTCCATTACTGGAATTTTTTAAGTAAAGAGTCAGTGTTTTTCTAAAAGATATACTCTATTTCAAACAGAAATAAATTGAAGCAATGTCTCTGGTCTGTATGAGTAAGCTAGTCAGACTAGATCATTAAAATGACCCCTTCTAGTATTATAATGTATGTACCTATGATTATTTAACACAAGAATAGTGTCCAGTGTACCTGACTAAAATCTTATTTAGGCTTTTTAAATATTGGCACATTACCTTTCTTCCAGCCCTGTAACTTCCCCTGCACCGCAAGCTTGTTGAAAATCAACATTCAGGAGGATATTAATTTAAATTCAGCTGTCTGAAAGCTAGCTGTTTAGTCTGAGCTAGTCACCCAGGTCCTTTCTATACTCAGTGAGGAAAACTAGGCACTTTCATAAGTCTGTTCCTTCCAGATATCTTGGGCATCTGTCTTCATCTGGGACAAGTCTGCAGGTCTCTTTCCATTAACTACAGGTGTCATAGACTACTTTAAACTCCATACCTAAAAGTGGCCAAAGTTAGATGAAAGGAATACATCCTTAATACTCCAAAGATCTTTTTTGAAATACCTGGGTTCAAAGTTAGTTAGATTCACTAATTTAAAACATCTGGCTCCATTAGATTATGTTCAAAGTGTGCTTCAGTTACTGCTGCACAGATAGTGTTCCATCACCATCATAGCATATAGATGCAACTCATCTGTATTTTTCTAGGGAAAGAATAAATTAATTTTTCAAAAGCTCTTTCTTATTGCACTATTATTCAGAATTCTATAATTCCTATCTAATAATGAACTGGACTACATATTCATTTAAACAAGTTCTCTACTGCCTTGGGATGGGATTCACACCATAAAACATAGATACCTACAATGTAGTTGCACAGATCTGAACTTTGAACCTGCACTCCCATAATAGCCAAAGGAGATGAGAAAATACTCCCCATAGAGACTGAGGTGCCTTACCTTTGCATAAATGTCAAAATGAGGAAAGATGAAACACAGTGGAGAATCTTCCTTTTCCTTGACTGTTGCTAAGAATTTGGGTGACTATTAAGATTGGATGTCCACAATGTAAACATTTAAAGTTAAGATCAACTATGACTTTGATGAATTTTGTTCTTCCACAGCCTGATTTTGGGTGCTTATTTTCCATTGTTCTTATTTTTTTCATTCCTTAATATTCTTGGCAGAGGTCTCATTAGCTTCACAATAAAAGACTTGCTTAAACTCTGTAGGTGATGAGGCCATTCAAACTTCCCAGGACTTCTTCACACAGTAATAATAACGATATTCCACAAAAACAAATCCTTCATATTACTTAGAAGTCAGAAATTAATTTCCTCAACAACAGAAATTAATTTCCACAATAGATTACCTTTCATCTTTCTTCATTTGCAAAGTAAGAATAACCAGGGATAATCAGTTTCATGTCTTTCAGTTATATATACTTCGAGTATTTTTAAATATCTGAAGTCTTTTAGCAGGTGTATTATCAGCAATTTCATAAATGCCTATGCACACCACCATCCTCACTCACTCACTTCAAAAGCATATTCCAATTTACAGCTTGCCAATATAACCAAGAAAAAGCATGACACTGAGAATCACTGGTATTAGTGACTAGTATTAGTTTGACACAGTGACATGGTCTCTAGGACACCTATTTAAATATTCCTTCAGGATCCTCAGATGACTTGAATTCTTCCTTTAGAACATGTTTAGACTAATTTTTTCACTACTAAAGTAGTTGCATTTCCTCATCTGTGTGTGCCTTGCAGAACAGCCTTTCTACAATTTGTCTCAAAAGAGCATCCCTATTAAAAATCCTCTACTCTTTAGCGGTCAGTTGGAGATTCTTTTCATGAACAAGCTTGATTGTTCTACGGCTTCAGAAGCAGTCAACTATAGGTAGACATCTTTGTTCCTTTTCAACAGCTACATTTTAAGAGAGATTTCCTGTTTCTATGAAGAATGTGGTGATGGCTGAGTGCTTCCAGTTGTCTGTGACTTCTCCTCTTTCTCTTCCCTCTAATTGTGACAGACTCCAAATGTGAAGAACATTGCCTGGTACTCTGCTTATCTTGGCTATAAAGTGCCAATCCCCCACTGGATTTCTCTTCTCCCTTGGTCTGTGGACAGCTATCTCCAATTCTGAATTCAGATCAAAGCATGTTCCTTAGTCTGATGTCTAAAAATTTCTCCTGCTTTCTAGTGTCCCACATGTCATTACAGGGTCTACTGGTCTACTGAAAATACAAATCTCTTTTCCAGCACAGCCATGAATTTTTACTTCAGAAAGAGGAAATGTTTTCTGGTGTTTGGTAGAAAGAAAGCATTGATCCATCTGTCACAGATCATAACCATTGTTTCATTCCCAGTCATAAGAACATTGAGTGTGGAATTGATCATAAATGAAAAACTTTATAAATCTGTGTTTCTAAACTTCCTCCAAAATCACCATTTATCTACCCACAATTTCACATGGCAGCAGATACACACCAGTTATTTCCCAACCTTTTTGTCACATACCCTTGTTTGAGAAAACTGAATGTATTTTGGGTACAGTTACAACTAGGTGAAAAATTGGAACACTTTTTCTCTCACAACTGTGTGCATATACCTGTTGTTTTGTGATTAGCAAATATTGTTTGCAGCAGTGGCAAAACATGTAATATGAGAACCTGGCTGAAATTACTTTTTTTCTATGGTTTTAGTCCTGTTTTCCTGGACAGAAACATGTATATACACGTTGCTCAGTGAATGGTCAGAAAGTATGGTGCTTTGAGAAAGTCTCCAATGAACTGTTCACGCACACAGCAACTGTGTCATTCATGCAGAGTAAATATTTCCCTGAAGCATCAGACTTTCTGTGCATGTTATCACTGTACCAGAATTGAAACTGCTCACAATAAAGTGCACTATCGTTACTGCAGGCATAAATTCAACATTAGTAACACTGCATCATAAGTCAACTCTTACTTTCAATATGTTTACCTGAACACAAAGTAAAATGAAATGTCTGTAAATGGTGAATCTTTCAGGAAATTTATGAAAATTAATAACTCCTATCATCTCCACCTTTAAGGCCATAATCCTTATCTCTCCTCTGCCAAAGGAATAATTCTTCTGACTTTAACTAGGGAGATAAAACTTTGCTAAACAAACCTTTTGGAGATAAAAATGCTTTCTAAAGTAAGGTCTTTGCAGAAGATGCTCATAATTAACCACTAAAATAAGAATTTTTATAAGTAAATGCAGAATTCATTTAAAAAACTGCTGGTAAAATAAGCCTTTGTATTATTCTATCTTAATTTGCCTCCAGATCCAGTTACTCTCTGTTCCTAAGTGACTTTCTGCCATACTAGGCAACTATCCATTATCTTAACCCAACTTCTTTTTCAAAAGTCACTTGGGAATGACAAAATGCTGATGTGACTGATGTCACTACTGACCAGGTCAGAATCATGTACTATAGAGGTGAATGTCCACATCATATTTCCATTCCCAACAATCACCTAGCTAGCTATACATACCTTTAGCACTAAAATACGGTTCCCTAATTACTTGACCAAACATTTTTAGACTGAAGTTCAGAAAACATGAGGTACACAGCTGTATTCAAGAACTATTTCAAATAAAAGATCTCTTTACTTGACCATGCCAAACCCCTTTGATTATCTGAACTCAAAGTAAGAAAAACCTTCCACCTCACCTTTACCACTCCATTTTCATGCATGGTGATACAGTTGTTGGGATCCTCTGAAAGCTGATATAAAGCCTGAGCTGTAGCTCTATGAACTGATGGATCATTTGACCTCAAGTAACGTACTAAAGGAGCTACAGCATTGGACTCTCCAAAGGCAACTCTATTTCTCCCCCACATGCAACAGTTGGAAATGGCCTCTGCTAAGTGGCGTCTTAATTTGTCATTGTTCTGAGGAAGACAAAAAAAAAACATTAAAGACAACATAATACAACAAGAATTTCTTAGGAAAGCAGAACCGTATTCTCAAACATCTTTAAGACACCCTATGCAATAAAATTAAAAACTGGTGAAAGCTGTAAGGCATAGAGCTAGTAGTCTCTTACTATTTTCTCTCAAGGAAGTGCTGTGAATTTTTATATTATTTCAAAGGTGCTTTTAGACTGACTGGAAATTAGGTAAGATCAGCATTAAAATTTAACACATAGACTCATCATTGAGATTCTTTGCATTGCTCTCTCAATCCTTTGTGCTTTTTTCATACAGCAGCAGCATCTCTCAAAAGCAGTATTAAACAACAGGGGCTATTAAAAGTAAGCTCCTCTTCAAAAGCAGTTATAGTACCAGCCACAGAGTGTTTTCATGCCTAAACTACATCAGCTACATACAGCTCTTCCTTGCAGCTGCTATAGAATCTTCTGCTCTTGTCATAACTTTTTAGTTGGGTATAATGCAGTCTGTCATAAGAAGTTCATATACTTAGTATAATATGTTTAGATGTTACTTACTGTGTTTGCTAGTTTTGACAACAGAGGGACAACTCCATGATCTGTTATAACAGCTAAATTTTCTTCATCTTTAGCTATATTTGTAATGGCTCCACATACACTTGCTAGAACTTCTTTATTCTTTGATTTTAGCAAATTGACTACCAGTTCCAAGCCACCAACAAAAGATCGAACCATTTCCCCAGCATCCTAAATGAGAATGAAAAGAAACATTATTTTTAAATATTGAATCTGTACTTATACGCAAACATTAAAAAAGAGACTGGCACAATATAGCTATTCACAACTGCAGCTACTGCTGTGCTGCCTTCACCAAGAAGTATGATTAATTCAGAACACAGCTCTCTTAGTTGGCATAGAAGAGTTACCAAAGAGTGGTAAATGCTCCATCCCCGGCTGTGTTCAAGGCCAGGCTGGACAGAGTCTTTGGCGACATGGTCTAGGGTGAGGCATCCCTGCCCATGCCAGGGGCTTTGGAACTAGATGATCTTAAGGTCCTTTCCAACCCAAACTATTCTATGATTCTATAGAACTTCAAGTGCCTAGCCTGAGGATATCAAGTATTCCAATGTCATCTGGAAAAATCACTATTTGTACTTGAATGGGCCCATCAGTTACTTTAGTTGAGAGGATCTCTATACTAAGCATAGATATTTGTGTTTTGTCAGGACTTCTTTATACAATCTATAATCCAGCCTGACATTTTTTGCTGTATTTTCAACCTTTCAGATGTGGATCTGCAAAGATGAATAGTTCTCTTAAAGTACATTGTCCAATGAATATAGAAACTAGCAAATGACTTAATTATGGCTAACTTAAGGTTTTCTGTAAAAACACAAGACTTAAGAAAAGCACACGGACTATTGATTATAAAATAGATACAAGTCAGAAACCACTATGGGCAAGAACTTCAGGTGGGTTTTGATGGTCATCTAATTTTTATGGAACTATTTACAAGAAGTACGCCAGTAGAGCCCAAACCACACCCTTCACAAAGGGTACTGAAAACAGGAATAGATAATAGATGAGAGGAGATTCTTGGCATCATTGTGGTGGCACATCTGCAGATGGTGTTGGATGGCCTGGTGTTAAGCTGTTATTACACTGGGAAAAGAGTAAAAGTGACTGGCCAAATGGTTCACAGTAACTTTGTAGAAGGAATTTTAGCCTGTACACATCAATGATGGTAAATGCGCAGAGATGGAAAGAAAGGTCTGCAAGTGAAGTCATTTGCTTCCTTCAACAGGTCAATAGGAGAATTTTGAATAAAAACTACCAGACACTCTCCTGAAATCCTTTTGGACTGAAAGGTTTTAGGACATCATGAAAGTGCAAAGTTGGATAGTATGAACTTTCCTAGGGCTAGGGAGTGACCCTGAGACCAAGAATGGTTTTGATTGTATTTATTTCTTTTTGGGGGCTGATTTATGAACACAGTAGTGCCCAACTGTATTGTGTTAGCTTTGCTGAGCAAATCCATCAGATTGTTCATGGACTTGGTAAATAAAAATTCCAGAAGATTAGGCAGTTCATCTTTTTTAGTTCTAAATGCCATACAGAGCTCTTAGCTGTGATGTTTCCTTCTCACAGAAAGGAAAAGCAGTGGGTAGACCCATCAGGAACAAAATATATTCCACCGCAGGCAGTGCAATTCTTGAGACTGGAAGGGAGAGGTTAAAGCCATACAGTGTAAGGGTCAAAACCAGAAGCCAAAACATGTGGAAAAAGTGTAGTAACCAAGAGCAGACTTCATGCTGAAGTCCTGTAACACCCAGAATGAACATAAACCAGAGGTCCTTCTAGAAATCTAAATGGTTACGCAGAAGGACAATACATGTTCGTGACTCAGAAAAGCAGATGAGAGAAACAAAGGAAAGGCAATGCTCTGCCACTTCTACTACCATGTGAACTACATGTAAAGGGAAGTAGGCTTACAGTGTTTCCCACGAATACGCCAGCATAATGTTTCTGTCATTGTTAGTGTACACACCACAATGTACGTGTATCCACAATCACCTGAATAAAAACAGTATTTCTCAGAATCAGTTTTCATGTCTGTCTTGAAATTCTAAAATTTGACCAAAGGTAGTAAATAATGTATTACAGAGAAAGATTGCTACACAGAAATTTTTTATCTGTACTAGAGGGATATACAGTTAAATGACCAGATACAGGAGAAGGAAAGAAAACAAGGTATTTTACATTTAGCTCAATTCCTTAAAAATTACTACAGAAGTGTGCATTACCTTGTGTCTAAATAACAGCTCAACAAATGAGAAAGGCTTCTGTTCAACAGGTAAACTTTACAGTGAAGTGTCTAAGATCTGAAAGGGGCCCTGCTATACATGAAAATAATTCTGCTTTTCTGCATGGTTCAGATATCTGTGCATTATCATTCATGCTCATGAAAGATGTTTCATGAAAAGATAGGATCTGAAAGGGGCCCTGCTATACATGAAAATAATTCTGCTTTTCTGCATGGTTCAGATATCTGTGCATTATCATTCATGCTCATGAAAGATGTTTCATGAAAAGATAGGATAATATGTATCCCATCTTAATGAACTAGTATGTACATTTTATATTTTCCTACCTTACATATTTTCTTTCCAGGTGGTTATATCCCTACTTGTTCTTTCCTGACAAGCTTATATTTTCCACATTTTATAAAGGAGTACAGTCCAATTAAACTGATGGAATAATATATAAACAATTCAGCAGTAAGTAGAAGAAAAGAGTTTCAATAATCATCTGTGAAACCAGCTAAACACAAAGACAGAACCTTCGAACAGTGATGAAAAGCAGAGGGAAACTGCCGAAACCACATGTCAGGAAAGTTTCCCAAATGTGATTGTGGGTGTAGTCTGGTGGTCTGTTTAAGACAAAGAGAAAAACAAAGAAGCAAGAAATTTGAAGAACAATGAGCAGAAAGTTGGACTGAAATGAGAGCTTTAATATCCATTATGTTATGTACAAGATTTATTTTTTTTTCCCCCAAAAAAATTCAAACAACAAATGCAATATTTCTGGTATCATTTAGCAAAACCACATACTTGCTTTGCACAGTAAATTTCTACTGGTTCAGGGGCAGGGGCGAGTGGTGGTGTTGCTTTGGGGGGAAGGGAAGGAGGTTGGGTTGTTTTTTTGTTTTGGGGGTTGTTTTTTTTACTGAAAGATGTGCATTAATTATATAAAATTACCATACTTTAAAGCTATTTAAAGAAGCAATTATATGAAGTTGTGCCTGTGATTGCAGAGGTCTGGATTTAATTCTTTTGAATCTATGTTCTTTGCGTATTCTTGTATTAATGATCAGATAGCTGTTCCTACTATAAAACCTAAAGTAGTTTCTGTGATTTTAGTTTCCAGATACTCTCAGGCATTTTCATCTACACTTATTTTTGTAACATAAGAGAAAAAATAATATATAACTTATATATATAATATAACTTATATATAATCTTTTATTACTTTTTTGTCTCTCATAGGAAAAAATACAATCTTTAAATTCCACCTTCTAAATTAATCATTGTGTTCTAAATACAGTAATAAGTTGTGTTCTAAACACAAAGGGTTTGTCATTTCCAGCTATTAGTGTGTGTTAAGCATTCATATTTACCTGTAGTCCTTAAACCTCACTGCAGATATGTAAATGGCATTGTTTCAAAGTCTGGGTTGTTTGCTGTTAGGTAATAACATGATTTTGCTATTGCGATTGAAGGCAAAAGTGCTCCATTTCCAGCCCGATACTGGATACATTCTACATATGAAGTAATTCAACAAACTTCAGTATTTTGAAAAGCTTAGAGCACATCTTAGGATACAGCTTTACAAACAACAACTTGAAAGAAAAGAAAAACATATTTAAGTGAATTTAGGTAATTTCCTTACCCCCCCTTACCTATTGTGCCAAAACCTTACTTCTTACTTGTCCTAACAAGGCTACTCAGCTTCAGTAAGGCAGGAAAAAAAATGGTATGGTAAGAATAAAGCCTAAGAAACACCCTTTACAGATAAAAATGTTCATAAAATCACTAATAAGCCATAAGCCAGATACTTTCATTGTACACATCTGAGTGTATGTGTTAATGATAGGTTGAATGCTTCTGCTTTAACAATAATATTTCCTGAGCTGAACAAAATAAGAAGCCAAACGCAAAGACATTTAAAGAAGCAATAAAAATATTTCTAGAAAATGGGAGGGGGGGGGAGAGAGGTATGTGGAAGCAAGAGCATTTTACTGCATTAACAGGAAATATGTTCATTTTAAATCTTCAAATCTTCATCATTTTTATAACTTTTAGTGTAATATTTAAACTGAGGTGACAGATATGAAAAAATATGGATTGTCTAACTACATTTTAAGTGCTGAAGAAGACAGGAAGAGATAACAGGATTTTTCATGACTTCGCATGACCATGTCTTCTAAACTAGTGGACAGCAAGATTTTCTCCTCAGAAAGTATGGTAAATGTTATTTATTTAAAAATTGTATGAAAAGGGAGGAGTTTGCAATCTCAAGCAGTTAAAAAAAAAAAACCAAACTACCATAAATTCTGAGGGCAACAGTTACCTGTTGTGCTAACAAAAGCCTCATTCTGCTACTCTTTAATCATTGCATGACTATTTAAAAAATTCAGTTAATTTTCCTTTCCACTTATTTTGACATTAACTTCTGCCAAGAGCAGAAATACTGTGAGATAGACAAGCTTTACACATTTTCTTTAATTAGGAGCAGAAAACATTATGATAATTGCAGAAAGACAGATTTGGGAAATTCACTTGATCTTCACAGTATTTATACAAGGAAAACATTTGGGATTTTTGAGTTCTCTTGTCATTATGTTGGTTTTGGGGTTGGGTTTTTTTGGGGTTTTTTTTTGGTGGTTATTTTCATTAAGTAAGTAAAATTCTTCAAACTTGAGACATACAGTTCTTGTAAAAGAACTACCAAATTCTTTTGTAACTGAATTCCTTTCTTATTTCTTCCAAAGTGAATACTGGTTTCTTTATTTGAAAGACTTAAAGCCAAACACTGTATCACAAAACCACTTTGTGTTTATTTTTAAAAATACTCCACTTGAAAGATGAAAGTTTCTCCACTAAAAACAAGTAGTATTTCACTTTTAGAGCTTCTTAAACAGCTTAAGGTGTCAAAGCTAATTTGTCAAATTGAATTGCTTTTGCCTA